ACAAATCTCCCCCACAACAAACCTACTCTCACAATTGACATCACAAATCTCCCCCACAACAAACCTACTCTCACAATTGACATCACAAATCTCCCCCACAACAAACCTACTCTCACAATTGACATCACAAATCTCCCCCACAACAAACCTACTCTCACAATTGACATCACACATCTCTCCCACACATATCAAACCTACTCTCACAATTGACATCACACATCTCCCCCACAACAAACCTACTCTCACAATTGACATCACACATCTCTCCCACACATATCAAACCTACTCTCACAATTGACAGCACACATCTCCCCCACACCAAACCTACTCTCACTATTGACATCACACATCTCTCCCACACATATCAAACCTACTCTCACAATTGACATCACACATCTTCCCCCACACACTTAACCTACTCTCACACCTGAAATCACACATATCTCCCCACACCAAATCTACTCTCACAATTGACATCACACATTCTCCCACACACTTAACCTACTCTCACACCTGAAATCACACATCTCCCCACCCCCCCCTCCACATTACACACTTTTATTAAATTCGCCTGTTTGTCGCAAACCAATTTAATTGAATTTGAAGTACTGTTTCGATCGTCGACCATGAAATCACCAGGCACCAACATCACAGTTCAGCGGTGACCCAACCCTAGTCAATCTCCTATTGATTTTAACCAATACAGTTATTTGATTGGTTTTTTTTTTACATGGATCATTTGGTAGGTTTTGTAAATTTAAAAACAAAATCTGCTTCGATCAGATAGGTTATTACAATAAATAAACAGTGTGGTGTGTATCTGACACTGCTGTGTAGTGTGTCTTACCAGAGGCGTAGCGAGGGGGGTATATATGTCCCTGGGCACCGACCTTAGGGGGCGCCAAAATGGGTTGGAAAAACAAATTAAAATGTCATTTTAGCTGCATTTTTGCATTATAAATAGTTTGAGGAAGGAAGTGCAGATCGAAATTTTGAGGGGGGGGGGGGGTGCAAATCGAAAAAAAATTCCCGAGGGGGGGGGGGAGCGCCAAATTGAAAGTTTGTCCCCCGGCGCCGGGAAGGGTCGCTACGCTTCTGTGTCTTACACAGTGTGTTGTGTGTCTGACACTTTTGTGTGCAGGTCTGACACAGCGTACTGAGTGTTTGTTGTGTGTCTGACACGTTGTTTGAATGTCTGACACAGTGTGTTGTTTTTCTGACACGTTGTCTTGTGTGTCAACACGGCCAGGTGTGATCAGGTCCTACACAGTGTGTTGTTTCTATACCGTCATGTACCTCCATTAAACAACATACACGGTTCACTGTTTCAAGAATAACAGTGAACGTATCTTATAACTCGTAATGTATCATCTTTCAAAACATGTTTCCCCATTCAAAGATTACATGACGCTGTATATTTAAGGTTATTTTTTGAAGTTGTCATTTGTAGTGTCCGGTCTTTAAACGTCAGGTAAACTCTACATCACCTGACTTACCAAGATGGGCTGCTAACTTCCCCGGGCCACCACGTGATACTGGCCATTAAACTATCGACACCACCCCTCCCCCCTTACCTGAGACCAATCCACGTAATAAAATGTGATAGTTCTACACAAATGACTAAAACATCTTAACTTAACAATCGCTTTGTCAGCGAATGCCATTCAATTGAGCAATTATTATGTGCACTTTCAATTTTTTGAGCATCAAATGGGTACAAAAAATGTAGTTCAAAGCCATGGGAAACTGGCCTACAATTCATGTTGGTATTTTTTTTCTATAATCAATTTTATTTTTTGCAACTGTTTGAAATAATCGAGTCGTATCAAGTAATGATTGGAAGATTACCAAATCATGCAGATCATTACGTAATTATTTGATATAGCTTGCGGAGCGGGAGGAAAGCGAACAGCAGAGGCGTAGCGAGGGGGGGGGCGGGGGGGGGGGGGGCGGACCGCACCGGGTGACACCATTTAGGGGGGTGACACCAAGGCAAAAAATAGCAAAGTATATAGAGAAAAAGTTGAGGTGGGGTTGCAAATCGAAAGTTTGAGGGGGGGGGGGGGTGCAAATCGAAAAATTGACCTCCGACCTCACTCCGCCACTGGGGAACAGTATTACAGTATTTGAATCATATTGTAATAGAATTTAACCTTAAACTGTATCACGTTGTTCTAAAACTGTTGCATCACAGCTATTAATGTTAGACAGGCCTAAATGGGGTCACATGATGTCATTTACATTTGAGCCGTCCCTCTGCGTAATTAACGTTCGTACAATTAACTGACAGCTAATTAGTCGCCTGCGTAGCAGTCTTCTATTTTATATTATTCACACAAGGGGTTTAATTAGGAGAAACTTCACTCAATCAAACCAAGTGAACAGTATCGACTTCTCTTTAATTAAGCGTCGTTTCATTAAGTCGGATCGTTTCGATATTTTTACAAGCACAGTTGGGGTCGCACGTTTCAAATGTTAAATGATCTGCCAGATAAAGTTAAGCGTCTTGTGGCCAACTATAATTTAAATTATCAACTGACGCGTCAAATGATCTCACGAACAGACGAAACACTAACGTTAGAACAACAGGGTTCCAGCTATCTTCTACATCTTCGTCCTTAAATTTAGTGTTAGAAGAAATCCCCTCTAGCACAATTAAGTATACGTGTCAAATGGTTATGCGCCATTGAGGCTTTTCTTTCTGGATTTGCATCCGTATCTTTTGCACAAACAAGAACAAACTACACGGCAGTATTTGTTTGATTTTGGAGTTCCAGCAATGAAACTCAACTTTTCCTATAGAATTATTCTCCTTAGATTATATATATATATATATATATATATATATATATATATATATATATATATATATATATATATATATATATATATACATATATATATATATATACATATACATATACATATATATATATATATATATATATATATATATATATATAAATAAATATATATATATATATATATATATATATATATAAATATATATATATATATATATATATATATATATATATATATATATATATATATATATATATATATATAGATCCTCTGGTATTCATCTCTTCGTTGCGTAATTCACATTTTGTCAATTCCTGTCAAATACATTTAACGGACCTTGCTAAAGAACACTTTTAAGTTAGTTTTGATATTTTGTGTAAACGGGAAAATAATTTGTATTGATTCTATCAGTGATCGATAGCACGAGGCCAATATTATCAAACAGCTTGGAGGGGGGGGGGGGGGAGGGAGAGGCCGATGACGTCATAACTCAATTGATCGATGAGGTAATATCTGAGAGAGGACGAAATGAATCGCCACTGTTTATTCAAACATTATTCTACCTGGGAGATCGCTCGAGCTTTTCCAGGTGTTTAGAACTCACAGCGCGTGGGGTCGATTTCAATCACAATCTAGAGATTGTGGGCAGGTGTTTGGTCACATTCAGCGACCTGTGTGGTTGTGTGGTTGGGTCAAATATTTGGTCACATTCAGCGACCTGTGTGGTTGTGTGGTTGGGTCAAATATTTGGTCACATTCAGCGACCTGTGTGGTTGTGTGGTTGGGTCAAATATTTGGTCACATTCAGCGACCTGTGTGGTTGTGTGGTTGGGTCAAATATTTGGTCACATTCAGCGACCTGTGTGGTTGTGTGGTTGGGTCAAATATTTGGTCACATTCAGCGACCTGTGTGGTTGTGTGGTTGGGTCAAATGTGTGGTCTTAGGTCAAGTGTTTGGTCACATTCAGTAACCTGTGTGGTTGTGTGGTTGGGTGAAATATTTGGTCTTAGGTCAAATATTTGGTCTTATGCCAAATATTTGGTTACATTCAGCAACCTGTGGGGTTGTGTGGTTGGGTCAAATATTTGGTCACATTCAGCGACCTGTGTGGTTGTGTGGTTGGGTCAAATGTGTGGTCTTAGGTCAAGTGTTTGGTCACATTCAGTAACCTGTGTGGTTGTGTGGTTGGGTGAAATATTTGGTCTTAGGTCTAATATTTGGTCTTAGGTCAAATATTTGGTCTTAGGTCAAATATTTGGTCTTATGTCAAATATTTGGTCTTAGGTCAAATATTTGGTCTTAGGTCAAATGTTTGGTCACATTCAGTAACCTGTGTGGTTGTGTGGTTGGGTGAAATATTTGGTCTTAGGTCAAATATTTGGTCTTAGGTCAAATATTTGGTCTTAGGTCAAATATTTGGTCTTATGTCAAATATTTGGTCTTAGGTCAAATATTTGGTCTTAGGTCAAATATTTGGTTACATTCAGCAACCTGTGGGGTGGGGTGGTTGGGTCAAATATTTGGTTTTAGGTCAAATATTTGGTCTTAGGTCAAATATTTGGTTACATTCAGCAACCTGTGGGGTTGGGTGGTTGGGTCAAATATTTGGTCTTTGGTCAAATATTTGGTCTTAGGTCAAATATTTGGTCTTAGGTCAAATATTTGGTCTTAGGTCAAATATTTGGTCTTAGGTCAAATATTTGGTCTTAGGTCAAATATTAGGTCTTAGGTCAAATATTTGGTTACATTCAGCAACCTGTTGGTTTGGGTGGTTGGGTCAAATATTTGGTCTTAGGTCAAATATTTGGTCTTAGGTCAAATATTTGGTCTTAGGTCAAATATTAGGTCACATTCAGCTACGTGTGTGGTTGAACCATAATTTCTACAAATGAACACATTCCGGCATCGCTATCTCCGTATTGGTACAATTACCCGCCTTAAAAACTCCAATAGTGCATTATCTCCTTGTCATTTCCCCTTCCCCATCACTCCAACTCATCATTTAGAGATTGGGCTATGTTAAGGATTAGTGGAGGAGACGTTAAGGATGGGGATTGCGTTTTGGTTAGGGCTATGATGAAGGCTGTGTTAGTTTAGGGATTGGGGTAGAGTTGTAGATATGGATAAGGATATGGGATTAGATATTCAGACGAATAGGGAAATAAATAGTGAGACGCAGACAAAAGAAACTCACCCCTTTGATAATATTCCCACATATATTGTGATCCGTGTGCAGCTCCTCCGTACGGTAGTAGTGCATGACCGTGGCGAAGATGCCCGGATGTCGGTCAAAGAAGTACTCGTTTCTCTCGGCGTCGTAGCTCTCGTCATTCTCCAGACTCCTGGCCAGACGAGACAGTCTGGTGCCCGGCTTCTTCAGAAGTGTGTGCGTCCAGGTTTCGAACACGGCACCGCCGACGTTGAGCTTGACGCGCCGGTTTCTGGTGGCGTTGGTGACGGCCGCCACAGCCGCCCGCCTGATCACTTCCATAGGTCACGTGATGAGGTCAGACGATGAAACGACACGCATCCTTGACCTTTGGAGTTTCGGGTTTGGAACTCTGCGAAAATAAAAATAAAATCACTTATTTAAGTGAATTGGGACTGCGTGGTCGATTGGTAGAGCATTGGACTACTAGCTTGAAAGCCTCGAGATCAGATCTTGGTTCTGACTTGTGACTGTAGGACGTCCCAGAGTTCGACCAGGTCTGATTGGTACATGATTTACGTTGGGGGAGATAAGGCGACTGGGCATAGTGCTGACCACGTCATACGTTCATTTGTCGAGGTCAAGAATCATATGAAGTCTACTTCATCTGCCCAACGGATCGCTAGATCAAAAAAGAAGTTTATTTCATTAATTAAGTGAATCAAATAGCCTAATTAAAACTTTCTACTATGTAACACCAGAAGAAATGCAACCTAACCATAGCTGAAGAAGTAAAAAAAGTTATTAAAATATTTTGAATAAAGTTGTCCAAGTTATAGTTATTGTAGTTCACTATTTCTTATAGCTTTTAAACTGAATGTTATAAATCTCAACCAGTATTAAAATAAGTGGTGTCATTTGAAAAATCTTTGCCCTAAACTAGAGACACAAAAAAAACTATAAACTGTGCTGCATTTTTTCATGACAAAAACTGAGTTTTCGTTTTTAGCCTGATTGTTTTTGTGTTTGTTTTTTAATGCTAAATAAATGGTTTGTGCTTTGGGGAAAATGTCAATTTAAAAGATGTGATAGGAAAGGAAAAAAAAAATTATAGATAGAATCAAGAATGTCTATCAAAGAAATAAGCATTCCCTCTGCATGTTTTTAAAATGTTTGATCAGCTGATGTATAGATGTACGTGGGCTTATATGTATATAGATATAATATGTCGGATGAGAATACAGAGCATTAAAAACATGGACCTTGAAATCTTAAAATACAAACAAAAGCACGGCATTTGTCCTATAAATAGGATACATTTGTTTAAAAAAAATCTTAGTGCGTGCTCTTTAGAGTGAGCTCCCCTTTGTTTGGGTCGCGTTGTTTACTTTGATAACTGTATTTTGTTATTGGGTCGCTTATAACAACTATTTGGATGGAGTGTCGTGTAGGCTGCTGGACGCTACGGTCACGTACACACATACACACTGCGATGTGTTCTCTCTCTCTCTCTTTCATCACATACATACTGAGATGTCTCTATCATCACATACGTACTTAGATGCCGTCTCTATCATCACATATACGATGAGATGTGTTCTCTCTATGAGTCTCATTACATACATATTTATATTTGTTCTCTGGTAAATATACATTTAATGTATAATTCTATTCCGTTTAGGATGAGGGGGTGGTGAACGTGCTTCAGGGGCCAGTGCCTCCCCCCCCCCCCCACACACACCATCGAAGAGATACCTGAAAGATCACATAATTATGTACTGAACCACTCACCAACAATACATTTCACCCCCTCCATAGGTATTTTATATCTTGAGCCCATCAAACATAGCACTAGCAACCATTAGCTGTTAAATCTAAGGTTGGACAACAACGCAATCCTCTTGTATTATCCAGTGATAAGCTATATACCGCCTTTTCCAGATATTAAAATTATTTAATACCATCACTAACTCGTCTTTGAGTTAATGGTGAGTTATTTAAATTACAGACTTTAAAAAAAACAACAACGTGAATTTCAAATGCACCTTCAGATTTGGAGTTCTGATTATGTGGAGTTCTCTGGCAACATGAATAAAATAAAGTTTACATTCGATCCTTGCATATTGATCTATTTGTTTTCTTTCGTTTCTAGGCAACGATCATTTCACACTAAGCCAACAAATGTTTGGTACCGCTTGCTTTTATTCCCACACATATTACAAGTATTACATTCAGCCATATGTTATTGTAAGGAAGTATTACATTTAACAACACGTTATTGTAAGATAGTATTAGACAGGGGCGTAGCGAGGGCGGGGCGGGGAGTGCGGGCCGCACCGGTGACAACATTTAGGTGGGTGACACCAAGGCAAAAAATTGCAAAATTTATAGAAGAAAAATGTTTTGTTTTGCCCGTTCAATTAATGGTTAATTAAAGTTAAATTAATTAGTCTTCTAAGTAAAAATAGAAAATTATAACAAGGGGGTGACACCATGACGTAAACGTGCTAACTTTAGAGACACATTGCTACATCCAACTACATTATTAACAAACTATAGATAAACATCGTTACTATTACGTCTCTAGTGATTAAAGCTTATTAAAATGCATGTATGCGTATGTGGCGCATATTTAAATTATAGGCCTATGTAGGCCAATACACACACACACACACACACATATATATATATATATATATATATATATATATATATATATATATATATATATATATATATATATATATATATATATATAAGTTTCTTGTAGGTGGGGGTGACACCACGATGTACCGCACCGGGTGACACCCGACCTAGCGACGCCACTCGTATTACATTCAACCATATGTTATTGTAAGGAAGTATACATTCAGCCATATGTTATTGTAAGAAAGTGTTACATTCAACCACACGTTATTGTAAGGAAGTATTACATTCAGCCAGACGTTATTGTAAGAAAGTATTATATTCAACCACACTTTATTGTGAGAATTTGTTACATTCAACCACACATTGTAAGAAAGTATTACATTCAATCATAACTTACTACAAGAAAGTATTACATTCAACGACAGATTTTCCCCATATCAATGGCTACCTGATTTGTACTTTCTATTTTAAATTAAACTTCTGTGTTAATAATGAATGTATCTGGTCCGACCATTTCCTGCTGTCATATTAACACCCGTTTTAAGTGTACAAGTTAACTATATATATTACACGTTTATATTAACGTTTATGTTATGTGTATGTTTATATCAATTTCATCGTTAAGCGTACAAGGTTATATACTTTTATTAGTCGTTAAAGTACATGTTATATATATTTGTTAATGTATATGTATGTATGGGGTGTGTATGCACGTGGTGTAACACAAATCATTCTCTCTATATTTTTTTATAATTTATTAAAATTGTATTAGATTTAGATATATCTTAGACCAACAAAGCATAATTTACATGATGTTCTTAAATTAAGTTACACAGGTATTGCTGTAATAAACTGCTTTTTAAGATAATATCAAAGAAACACGAAATGTTAGTGCAAACGTTTCACTGTAATTGATCAATAGTACTAGAACATTCAGAGTTAGTAATAAATATTCCACCAACCTTACGTTCAACGTACCCAAACAACTCAGCCTATTTATGTTAGTGAACTCTGTTTACGGGGAAAATCTCCCTGAACTCATCTGTTTCATCCGTCCATGTAACAGCGAACTTTGTTACCGGCGAACTGATACTAAATAATTCAACTGGTGGAACAGCCATCGCACGTGCGATCGGTTTAACCCTTGCACGTGGAAGGTGAGCGGCAACCGGTTTGTTGTGAGTTAGCGCTCTACTAGCGCCGTGAGAGCCGTCTTTAAAAAAGTCAATGGTGTCGTAATGTGTACCCCGTGTCGTTTAGAAGTGTGTCGTAATGTGTCCATTGTGTCGTTTAGAAGTGTGTCGTAATGTGTCAATTGTGTCGTTTAGAAGTGTGTCGTAATGTGTCCATTGTGTCGTTTAGAAGTGTGTCGTAATGTGTCCATTGTGTCGTTTAGAAGTGTCGTATTGTGTCCATTGTGTCGTTTAGAAGTGTGTCATGATGTGTCCATTGTGTCGTTTAGAAGTGTGTCGTAATGTGTCCATTGTTATTGGTAATGTGTCGTATAGAAGTGTGTTGTAATGTGTCCATTGTTATTGGTAATGTGTCGTTTCTTGAGTGTGTCGTAATGTGTCCAATGTGTCATTTAGTAGTGTGTCGTAATGTGTCCATTGTGTCGTTTAGAAGTGTGTCGTAATGTGTCCATTGTTATTGGTAATGTGTCGTTTCTTGAGAGTGTTCTAATATCTCATTAGTGTCCTAATGTGTCCAAGCGTGTTGTGTTTCAAGTGTGTCCTGACGTATCGTTCGTCTCGTGTGTCCAACGTCTCACCAACCAAGTGTGTCTTGGTGTGTCTCTTATCATTTCTCTGCAGATTTTCTCCACGTGTCGAGACAGACTGGAGAGTACAACATTCTAGCGGGGTCTAGTTGGCGGACACACAACATTTCTCTGGCGAAGCCTAGCGGTAGAGCACTAGACTGCTAACCCGAAAGTCTCGAGCTTGAAGTCCATTCAGTATTGATGGGTTCCTAATTCTCGTTAGAAACAAAAACAGCCGGATAAAGTGCTGACCGCACTATCCCTTCATATGCCGAGATCACAGAGACAGGTGAACTCTACTTTACTTGCCCCATAGGTTGTTAGGTTTGAAAAAAGAACCTACCCTGAAAATGATGTCACTAACCTCCCACCCGCATGACTAATCATAAAAAAAAACTCAATTGGTTTTCGACACAAAAAAACACTCCAGTTTGTGAGGACGTGACGTAATAAGATTTTTAAATCTAACACAACCATTCATTTATGCAAGTGGGTGTGAAGATTTCTCCACAAGTAAAACCAATTAAAAACGGCTTTGAATACAATCTTTGTTATACTCTCTAACCCCTTGCAATCTTTTTGTTTCAAGAGACTTAAACGGAACTGTGGTTTTCGGGTCTGTTATCGTTCTTTAAGCATCACTGCTAAAAAAAACTGTTGCTGTAAAATTGCTACCTGCGAAAAGAACCGTCTATTGTCATGAACAATGGCAATTCATACAAAGATGGTTGTTTGAAAATTCTGCAATAACCTTCTAGCATGTTCGCAGTCATTTTAGGTAAAACGCGGTTAGCACCCCCCCCCCCCTTTTTACCGCCCTTCCCAGCACCCCCACCAATTCACACACGCACACCATTTCACTTTGCACTAATAAAAATAAATGAAATCTAAAGAAAAATTCAGCCGACGCCTGTGAATACAGGCACTGCAACATTGTTGCGAACTAAAATAAACATTTTCGGAATGCTGCCTGAATAACATTTTGGTGGTACATCATTGTATACACTTAAACCTACGACAGACTTGTGTAGATGTTGTTATAAATCTAGGTACCCAACAGTACATCATTGTATACACTTAGACCTACGATATCACACATTCTTGTGTAGATGTTGTTATAAATCTAGGTACCCAACAGTACATCATTGTCTACACTTAGACCTACGACAATCTTGTGTAGATGTTGTTATAAATCTAGGTACCCAACAGTACATCATTGTATACACTTAGACCTACGATATCACACATTCTTGTGTAGATGTTGTTATAAATCTAGGTACCCAACAGTACATCTTTGTATACACTTAGACCTACGATAATCTTGTGTAGATGTTGTTATAAATCTAGGTACCCAACAGTACATCATTGTCTACACTTAGACCTACGACAATCTTGTGTAGATGTTGTTATAAATCTAGGTACCCAACAGTACATCATTGTATACACTTAGACCTACGATAATCTTGTGTAGATGTTGTTATAAATCTAGGTACCCAACAGTACATCATTGTATACACTTAGACCTACGATAATCTTGTGTAGATGTTGTTATAAATCTAGGTACCCAACAGTACATCATTGTATACACTTAGACCTACGACAATCTTGTGTAGATGTTGTTATAAATCTAGGTACCCAACAGTACATCATTGTATACACTTAGACCTACGATAATGTTGTGTAGATGTTGTTATAAATCTAGGTACCCTACAGTACATCATTGTATACACTTAGACCTACGATAATCTTGTGTAGATGTTGTTATAAATCTAGGTACCCAACAGTACATCATTGTATACACTTAGACCTACGATAATGTTGTGTAGATGTTGTTATAAATCTAGGTACCCAACAGTACATCATTGTATACACTTAGACCTACGATAATCTTGTGTAGATGTTGTTATAAATCTAGGTACCCAACAGTACATCATTGTATACACTTAGACCTACGATAATGTTGTGTAGATGTTGTTATAAATCTAGGTACCCTACAGTACATCATTGTATACACTTAGACCTACGACATCACACAGACTTGTGTAGATGTTGTTATAAACCTAGGTACCCAACAGTACATCATTGTATACACTTACACCTACGATAATGTTGTGTAGATGTTGTTATAAATCTAGGTACCCAACAGTACATCATTGTATACACTTAGACCTACGATAATGTTGTGTAGATGTTGTTATAAATCTAGGTACCCAACAGTACATCATTGTATACACTTAGACCTACGACATCACACAGACTTGTGTAGATGTTGTTATAAACCTAGGTACCCAACAGTACATCATTGTATACACTTACACCTACGATAATGTTGTGTAGATGTTGTTATAAATCTAGGTACCCAACAGTACATCATTGTATACACTTAGACCTACGGTATCACACATTCTTGTGTAGATGTTGTTATAAACCTAGGTACCCAACAGTACATCATTGTATACACTTAGATCTACGACAATCTTGTGTAGATGTTGTTATAAATCTAGGTACCCAACAGTACATCATTGTATACACTTAGACCTACGAGAATCTTGTGTAGATGCTGTTATAAATCTAGGTACTCAACAGTCAGTTATTTTTTTAAACTATTACCTAAACTACCAGAATTTTTTTCTGTTGTGAACTTGAAGCAGGAGGATAAAGACGTTTAACCGATGAATTACTTTAAATCACTGAGACTGATTTCAATCCCTAAAACACTAAGGAAATAAAAACGAGCGTATTTAGAAAAATACAACTTACCTTTTGAGAGTAGCCTCCCTTTTTATTATGAATAACAACAGGCTTAAAATGTCAACAGATTTTATACTTGTCCAGTAAAGCAAAAATTATAATGGAAATGACCGTTTCTCACATTAAAATACAATGACTAGTAAAGAATGTCTTCCAACTTAAAAAGTCAGTGGAATACAGTCGACTCGACATCTTGCTTGTACGCAATAACTTACTCCCCTTAAAATACCGCGGTAGTTGTGGGAGATATGGCTATAAGATCACATTGGAGTCAGGTAGAAAAAATCTGGAGGTATTTCCTGGAATAAAACAGAGCGACTACTGAGCCACGCGACAAGTGGGGCCGGCTATGGCAGGACGCTGGTGATGGGATTATTCTCAACACTATCGATTGGTACCGATTGATGCCGATTGATGCCTATTGGTACCGTTTGATGCCGATTGATGCCGATTGATGCCGATTGATGCCGATTGATGCCGATTGATGCCGATTGATGCCGATTGTTGCCGATTGATGCCGATTGATGCCGATTGATGCCGATTGGTGCCGATTGATGCCGGTTGATGCCGGTTGTTGCCGATTGATGCCGATTGATGCCGATTGATGCCGATTGATGCCGATTGATGCCGATTGATGCCAATTGATGCCGGTTGATGCCGATTGATGCCGATTGATGCCGATTGGTGCCGATTGATGCCGATTGATACCGATTGATGCCGATTGATGCCGGTTGATGCCGGTTGATGCCGATTGATGCCGGTTGTCGCAGGATGGTGTTTCACTTAGTTCGGTGGTCGTGGGTTCACGATTGTAAACCTCTTCTTATGTGGTTCGATGGTTAGAACCACTCGTACGATGAAACGATCATTTATTCCACTTTTCCTTGTACAAGAAAGTTTTCTTCGCATGTGGCGAGGGTTCACCTTGAAATGGGGAAGATGATTTATCCTGAATTATAATGGTCAGAGGCGTAGCGAGGGAGGGGGGGGGGGCGGACCGCACCGGGTGACACCATTTAGGGTGGTGACACCAAGGCAGAAAATAGCAAAATATATAGAGAAAAATTATAATTCCACTTTATTAAGTGATTAATTCGAGTGTTAAATAGTGTTTTTAGAGGTGCAAATCGAAAGTTTGAGGGGGGTGGGGGGTTGCAAATATGAGGGAGGTGCTGGGGGAGGTGCAAATCGAAAATTGAAAGTTTGTCCCCGGAAGGGTCGCTACGCCTCTGGAGGGGGGGGGGGTAGATGACACCATTAAGTGCCGCACCGGGTTACACCCGACCTCGCTACGCCACTGATAATGGTGCAAGGTTTCCAAGTGTTTTGATGCTGTGTAGTTGTATATAATCATTGTTACACATCACAAAAACAATATCATGTTTTCCAGTATTTAACTCAATTACTTCTAAGCTATCACCCACCTGTAAAATATGTGAATTGGTGCTCGATCTTAACTGACAATGTCTGTCTCGATTTCACCTGACAATGTCTCACAGTTACCTGATATCTGTCTTATAACTACCTGAAAGAACTGGAGTCTGTCTGTTACCTGATGTTTATCTCGCAGTGACCCGTTAATGTCTGTCTTTAAAGCCATCTTCTAAAGGACTCTACGATCTAGCTCTCTTTTATTTGTTCCTACTGTTTGAATGCATATTTTATCAAGTTTAACTGACGTTAGAATTGATTGCATGATAACGAACAACGAACGTGGTTTAGCCTGAATAATTATTTGACTAATACAATGCTGGACTGCTGAATGTCTATGGGAATTATTTATATTGGGTTTTCTTTGTAAGCTGGCTATTGTGAGTCCACTAGGGACATTTTCATCAAATGGCGACACTTCTAAAACCTTAAATGGATTACTGAAGCGTTTGATCTGCTCGACTGGTAACCTGTGGTCTGGAGTTCGAATCCCTGGTCCTAAAATGACGGGACCTTGACCATAAGAACGACTTCTTGCTGTTGAAAGCCCATTCATGCGATATCTTAACCATAGCCGTACTCCATCGTTATATAACCGGTAAAGGATCACTCATTTATGACATGAATTCACCTTATGAACACGAGTTTTGTATGTGTACATACTTTAAGATGTTAATACTGTTAGTTCATCTTTTCGGAATGTATGTTTTATTGTGTCAAGAAATAAACCGGGAGTGATCTCCCCTAAACTTTCTCGAATATTCTAATATAACACTACGGGGGATGGCAACTCGGGATATAGACTTCTAGACATGATTTTTAATCCGTTTTAATTACTCAATTTTTAAAAAAATAGAATGTAATCTCGTAGAAAAAAGAAATGCACACCAAGTGAACGCTAAATAAAGATGTGCATAATAGTGCGCAATATTATTAGTACTTTATAAATTTACATGCGTTTTTTGAGAAATCGGAAATAGCGTAAATAAGTACTTCCGGTAAACGGAAATTACTTAAAATTTGACAGAAGGTAGAAAATTAGATCTTTTACTTACATATCAAATTTCATTTATCTATCTGAAATAGTATTCAAGTTATAGGCTTTTGAAAAATTCAAAGTAGAAAAAGTACCACTTCCGGTTATCGGAAATCGCTCAAAAGTTGATATGGATCTACGATTTTGATATAATACTTATATATGAAATTTCATCAACCTAGCTGTAACGGTACTAAAGTTATCGTGTTTACACACACACACACACACACACACAGACACACACACACAGACACACAGACATACGGACAAGATTGCAAAATTATGTTTTTCCGTATCAGTGAGGTGTAAAACGTCGAGATTTGTAAAAATCTCGATTTTTTTTTTGCACGATTACAATACTTTCTCTATACTTCGTATAAAGTTTTAATTCATTGAGTTGCGGCCCCTGTGGATTAAGTTGTGTTTAATGCTCTTGTGAGCGATTTTACCTGGGTAAAATATGGGTAGTTTCGTGCCTAGCCGTGTCAGTCACACACAAGGCTGCTGTCTGTGAACACGGTGACGGTACCAAGATGTAGACCTAATGAAGGGCTACAGTTTTCTTCTATGTTTTCTTTTTGGGCTTCCTGTTCGTTTGGTAGTCATCTGTAATCGTCGTACTACTTTGTTCTGCATCGCCGTCATATCTCGATGTAGTGAATAAATCCAGTACTTGACAACAATTGTCGGTGTCAGTGTGTATTAAATCTCAGGGTCAGCCCGTCTTAACCATAACACCTCAGTGGGTAAAAGCATTCCCACTGAGTGAGTGTTATATATATATATATATATATATATATATATATATATATATATATATATATATATATATATATATATATATATATATATAAGCATGTATATACGCATGTGTGTATGTATTAACATATATTTTTAAAATGTATTTAATTTTTTACCTCCCCCCCCCCATACATGGATTAACACATACGTTATTAAGATTCTCAACCAAACCGTTTACCTAAGGCATATTTTGCAAAGTTGAGTTAATGTAACTGCCCCACACTCACCCCCCCCCCCCCCACCCCCACGTCGATTGCTTTAAACTACTCCGATATAATACTAACGATTTCTATCTATAGTCGGTTATAAATTCAGCTTGATGTAGCTTGTATTCTCTATCATTAGCACCCCCCATCCCCCACCCCTCCACCCTTGTCGGGATTTGTCAAATTTGCTCTTAAAAGATTTTTAACACTCTAATTAACCACTTAATTAAGTGGAATTATCATTTTTTCTGTATATACTTTGCTGTTTTTTGCATTGGTGTCACCTCCCTAAATAGTGTCACCCAGTGCGGTCCTCTCCCCCCCCCCCCCCCGCTCTCTCTCTCGCTACGCCTCTACTCACTAACATGCTTGTTAGAACATACACACACAGATAATATACAATTTAGAGTTTCAATTTACTACAAGCAACAGTCGTAAAACAAACCCTTGCACAACATGAACAATTATAGAATGTTCTATAATTGTATTTTAGTTTTTATTTGGATAAATGTTATAATTAGAAGCAGTGTAATTCACATGTTTAAATAACACTTTATCCATAAAAAGCTTTAGCTGTTACTTAAATTCTTCCATATTTTAAAGCAAATCTAGGCAATTTTGACCACAGGGGGGTTAGGATATATGGTCTTGACCAGCAGCCCGTCACCCTTATCAGAGGCAATCCAGTTAAAAAAGTTGAACCGGTACTTGGTAGTACCAGGTCTCTGTAAATGAAAAACAAAATGTAGCTATTATTTAGGTATCATTGAAAGGTATCATCATAGAAACCTACAGAATTCAAATATACAGCAATGTTACAAACTAATCCAACAGAAACCAACAAGTAGACATTTCACCGATACGTATATATATATATATATATATATATATATATATATATATATATATATATATATATATATATATATATATATATATATATATAATCAATAGTTTCTACTGCAAAGAGTCGAATATACGTGATTTGCATTGCAGACTTCTTTATGTTGATTTTACACAATCTTAAATCTTTTTTCTAACTCTTTCTCATTAGACTGAGCCACTGTTTCACTTGTAATATTGCCTATTAAACATTAAAAAAACAATTAGAACTGTTTTTAAAAAACTCACAATGTCTGTGTCATTGACAGCTGCCACTCTCTGATCGATATCAACCTAAGAAAATTTTCCGGATAAAAGGAAATTTAACCATATTTGTTCATATTAATGAATAAAGTATGTTTGGATTAATAAAAAAATGTAAAGTTATGTTATGCCTTTAGACGACTCAATTAAAAAATTGAACTTAAGAACAGCGTATTGTTACAACCGATGGTAATTCAAGATTGACCATTGTAAATTTATAATTAAAGCTGGAATAGTATTACTCACATAGTCAAGGAACCAGCCTGGATCGCTGCCGATGTTATTGTGTCCTATCTCGATAGAGTGAACCCTCCCAACGTTTTGAGTGTATACCTTGGGAAATATGCACAAACAAATTATTTTTCACGAGAAAGTAGAGATTTAAATAAACCAGCCAATTAAAATCATCGTTACAAATATATTGGTACTAAGAAAAGTTTTAAAATAGAACTTGACCAATATTCAAATACCCTCGACTCCAGTGAGTAAAAACAAATTAATATCAAAATATTAAGGAAAATAGAATCTTGTGTCGGGACATAATTCCAATCATAAACTCACATAACCCTTAGGCGTGTAAATGTAAGATACTGTTTGGTGATTTATTTATTTTTAAATTATTATACATCCTATTAAGCGAAAGTTGATTTCACATGACATAGTCATCAAATCATGAGCGTCGTGTCAAGTTTAAAAAACATCGGTTCGGGAGAAGTGAGTTAAAATTCGTTCGCAAGCTTCAGCCTATGACGGAAGGATGTACGAAGACATACTTGACAAGGAATCAGTTTAGATCTCTCACCGAAAACATGTCCGTGTCGCCCCTCTCAAAATTGTCGTCGGACTGACTAAGAAAGAAGTATCTGCCAGTCGAACCGAAGGAGCCTTTCATATTAAGGAATACCTTAGCATCAGTGCCGGCTTTGAATTTGTTACCGGTTTTTATAGATATCGTGTAAAAGATATCTTTAGAACACGCTGCTGAAAATGAAAGAAAATACACACACACACAAATATATATATATATATATATATATATATATATATATATATATATATATATGTATATATATATATATATATATATATATATATATATATATATATACCAATACCTACACCGATACCTACACCCACGACTACACCTACACATACTTGTATGACTGCACCTACAACGTCATCTACTTCTACTTCTACACTTTAACAACCACCTACACCTTGCCTACACCTACGTCTACACCTACGCTTACACCTAAATAACACTTACACTCACACTCAAATCTACACCCCTACCCACACCAACGCCCAGGCCCACACCTACACCCACACCCACACCCACATACAAACCTATACCCATAACCATACCAATACCCATACCGATCCCATACCAATACCCATACCCATACCCTTACACATACCTATACCCTTACCCACACACACACCCACAACCACAACCACACACACAAACAAACTCAACCACAAACATAACCACACCAAAACTCATACCCGCACCTACATCTACACCTGCACCTCATTTAGTTCTTTTTCATAACCAGTCATCCATACAGCAAATAGCACTAAACCCCTTTCACTAAGCTCACGTGCTAATGGCTGTATACCCTCCCCCCCCCCCTTCCACAATACAAGGTTGAGCTATAACCCCATAACATAACCCGGGCAGTGAAGGGTCAATCGCGTCCACAACACTCTTTAAAAAGCTAACCACTGTATCACTGAAAATTAGTCTTATCGTCGAAGCCAATTTTTAAAAACAAACGCGTTTATTCAAAAATCATTTTCTAGGCTGCCGATTAAATTTTATAAATAAACTTGGTATCAATTTAAAGGTAAATAAATGTAGTTTTTATTTGTTTAAGTCATCATGAACAATAATTAGGTTCAAAATCTTAGGCGACACCCTAAATTAAAGTGACTGAAAACTTCATGAAACAGTCCGCAGGCTTAGTTAACCTATACATTTTTTAAACGTTTATTAATAGATCGACCTCTTGTAGATGCGGCACAAAATTTATATTTGGTAAGGAGATACCTATTGTGACGTAGGCACCTGGAAAATACTAGATTCTTAGTCACATTAAGCAGTTACAAATTGAACCGACATCCACACACCAACACCACAGGAAGATGACTTAGACTAAGTCTTCCTAAGACAGCTCAATTTTTACCTATTAAATGGAAGTAACTGCGTCATGAATTTAAACTTTAAATTTCCTACGTTGTTTGACTACCCATAAAAAATAAACGAGCAAAATTTTTGGATTAAATAATAAGTCCTTAAAAATTTATACTAAAGTGCTTTTAAATCTCTGTGGAAATAAATAAATGGTGACTAACAATTATTCTTTGAGTCTTGGCTGGTGTAAACAAATAAAAAACGTCACAGATAAACTGTTTCGTTCATTGGTGCGGAGCTTTATGTAAGTGTTCTTAAAAGAAACTTGTAAATATACTAACATTATTGCATTAATATTTAAATTTAGGCAAGGCTATAAAATTGGTTGAAGCAAAGCCTAGCTCACAACGGCTAATTACATAATAAAAACAAAAAATACCTGGTCGTATGAACGCCACCAGACAGAGCACACCAAAGATCGCTGCCATTTTCATCATCTTCGGCTTTCTCTGTGTATGGTCTGAGCGCAGAAAAACAACCAACTTATAAAGGCCTGGTAGACTAATTAAGTTTTATTGACAAACAGTGGCGTAGCTACCGTAAAGCTAGCGTAAGCAAGGCATAGGGGCCAAGGCACATAGGAGCCCTTTTCCCTCTTTAATAAAACAAAAACTTATATATTGGAGTTTTTATTCTTTGTTTTATGTAAATAATTTTAAAAAGATTTTATATTCAGTGTGTTTATATGTGTGTGTGTAAGGGGGGGGGGGGGGGGGAAGGGTCGAACCAGGGCGCATCTAACCCTATAAATTTTTTGTTTTCATCCAATCGCCAAGAAAATTTTCCGAGACATTTTTTGAAAAACGTACCTGAAAGAAAACTCTGGGGATGGTTTCTAGCATTACATTTTATTTTAATTTTTTTATGGCGGCGCCTCGGCTGTAAGACGGTGCTGTTTGCCATTCAGTTTCTCAGGGGCTATTTTTGCACCTGGTGTCCGTTAGTCTGAATACCCGGTGCGCCCTGGGATACCCGTGAGCTCTTCAGCGCCTACATTCATTTAATGAGCGCCATTCACTAAGGTTACGGAGGGCTACTAAAATCGATAACTAAATCGAATAAGAGGTGTCCCCTAGCGCGTCAGCAGTAATAAAGGTTAGGTCCCCCGAGAAAGCCAGTGGCTACCTGAGGGAAAGAGATCCGTTAATTGCGCGTCCTGCATGGGTACTTCTAATTTAACAACCAAACTGCAACATGGGCAGCCTACTGCGCCTCCGGCTTACGGCTGACACCAAGCACAGGTGCACCCCACGATGTGCCTCTACGTTTGATGATTAAACCGAACATGGGTAGCATCCGGACACCTATGATAGTGTAACACGTCACTTCCGCGACACCCTTAGGTTATCGCTGAAAGGTGTTCAACCTCACTATTACGGAGGATGATCAACGTACACTCAAAGCTTTCATACAACACGCGCAAGGGCGCCTAATGGGTAGTGTGGACGAACCCGCGCCCCAGCAACAAAGATCCGAAAAAGATAACAGTGGTGTTGTTTACCATTTAACTATCTCAATTTAAGAAAAAAAAGGTCACACGACTACAAATACACAATTGGTAACGCGTTGATGAAACCCTTACAAATTGTTTCATTACACTGGTATGTGGGCAGTGTTTCTTCCAGACTTTTTTCTCCGGGGGGGAACTTGAAATTTTCGGGGGGGGGGGGGGGGCGGTAGACTTTCTTCGGGGGGGGGGGGGGCGGACACTGTTAAAAGTATATATTTTCTATATAAATTATATAAATTTCATTTCGTTCCGGGGGGGGGGGGGGGGGCGGTAAAAAATTTTCGGGGGGGCTTTGCCCCCCCCCCCCCCCCCGAAGAGATGCCTGGGTATGTGGGACTAGATCGAAGCTTTTTCATGCTGTATGCTAGCTATAGATAAACATTCTTTAACATTCCACTAATTATTTGCTCATTTTGATGCTGTTAATTTGTTATAAAACAAATTGTAGATATGCCCTTTAGGTCAGGTGCCATCCTAGGTATCTTACATAGAGAAGCAGATAAAATAGATCTCAAGGAACTTATTAATCATTTTTCAAAATTAAAAGCATGAGAAAAAAAAAGATCTAAATAAATTGTGAGTGAGAGTGGCGTCACAAGGTCGAGTGTTCCCTAATGTGTTTACTTAAGAAAATTGTGAGTGAGAGTGGCGTCACAAGGTCGAGTGTTCCCTAATGTGTTTACTTAAGACGCCACCCCATCGTCCCCAACAACTTTGTATTTTCTGTGGGGTACCACCCCTCTCTGACTTATCTTTTAATACCTTTGCTAGATACAACATTATTTTTTTCAGTAAATTTTACAATATTTCGTCATGGTGTCACGCCTAAATGTTGTTAGCCGTCTTGTGACCCAACTGTGTTTGGTTAACTGAAAAACAAAAACAAATTAACGGTAAGCCTGTAACAGTTTTACAAAACTACGGGGTCTACATAAAAAAACTACTAGAATGTAGTAGAAAATAGTAGTTGATTTCTTCGTTTCACTCCGTTGTAGTCTAACGGCTGACAAAGGGGAACACTGATAATTTTAGCATTGGGGCCTGAAAATCCTAGCTACACCTCTGTTGACAAACAATAAACATTTGTCTAAGGTTTACTCCAGAGTACATATTTAAGCTCGTATTACTGCTACATCGTTATATCATTTTTAACACTTCTGTTATTGAAATTTTTTATATTATTTTATCGACCTAATCATGGTGATACATTATGATTGTATATATACAGTTTACATTTTTTTTTCTAGCTTATGTGGTGCAGATCCAGGGCTTAAGTTTAACATGTGGGCGTCGATAAATGACGTCACATTCGTTGGGAGGTCCGATGGTTTGACGTCACATTTTTGCGCTTAAAAAAGCAATATGAGAAAACGGATTTTAGCCGTTATTTAGCGGTTTAGAAAACTCCTTTTATAAATTATAATACGAATTGATTAAAATACTCTATGTTGATAGAGTTCAGACAAGATTTAAGAAAAATATCAATGTTTTAAGAATTATTCAACTGCAACTTTGAGGGGTCTGGTTTTTTTGTGACGATTTGTGACGGAGAGGAGGGGGGAGGTAAAAATCGTCAAAAAAGGGTGACGTCATTCATGGATGACCCTCTGAGCGGGGCTCTCATGCATCTCTTTGGGTAGAGGGGCTCTAGGGGGGACATAGCCCCCCTACCCAAAGAGACGGAAGAACATCTTCCAACCTCACCCCAAGGAAATACAATTTATATAGAAAATATATACTCTTACCAGTGTCAGTCTCCGCCCGGAGAATTTAATTCGCGCCCCCCCCCCCCACCAGAAGAATTTACGGACTCACACCCCCCCCCCCCCATCAAAAAAAGGTATAGTGCCTCACCCCAGGAGAAAAATATCAGAAATAAACACTGTCTGTGTGAGTGAGGTTTATCCGCCAAAAAGTTAGAAACGTGTCGGGCACTGGTAAAAGTATATTTTCTATATAATATTTTATTTCTGTTGAAGAAGACGGTAGACGTGCTTCGGGATGGGTGGGAAAGGGGCTCGGAACCTGGAAGAGTCGCTTATAAAAGAAATTCTAAATGCGACTTTTATTGTCATGTTTGAGCTTTGGTGCATGGTTTAGAGGAATGACTTCGACTATGTTTAGTATCAATGTGTATTAACTACGTGTAGATGAATGTTAAATCCGATTAAAATGCCGATTTTGGATAAAATCCGTTTTCAATGACATTTTTCCTTTCCGGTGATTTAAGTTTTGGTTTCGATTTAGAGAAAAAGACAA